TCTCGAGGTGATACACAGATTAGTAGAAATGAGTTTATTTAAGATGTAAGAGCTAGCTAGAAATATGTCTAAGCCATTGGCCAAACAGTGTTATAATTAATACAGTTTCTATGTGATTATTTAAGTCTGGGAAGTTGAGAAATGAATGAGCAGTCTCAGTTTACAAACAATAGTATCTTTCATTGAAAAAATAAGATGACCAGTTTTATTCATTGTGATAAAATATATCTAGCATGCAGTTTTAGCCATTTTAAACTTACTCATCATTACCACCTGTCTCCAGAACTTTGCCTCTGTCCCAACTTAAACCACACACATTAAATACCACTCCAGACTCTCCCTCTATCCACCAATCTATTGTCTTTATGAATCTGACCACTCAAGGGACCTCATACTAGTAGAACCAAACTCTATTTGTATCTTTTTGACTAGCTTAATTTCCTTAGCATAAATGTCATCAGTATTCATCCCCAGGGCCCATAACAACCCCTTCAAGACTGGTTAAGATCCCATTGTGCTTACTACATCCTGTTTATCCAAGCATCTGTGTACACAGATATCTTTGAGACTTTGCTTTCTTTTCTTCTAGGTATGCATTAGGAGGGGCCTTGCCATTGTGTAATATTCTATGTTAAGGTGTGTTTTCTTTTTTTGAGGAACTACCACAATTTTTTATGTATTATCATTTTATATTCCAACCAGTAATGCATACACATAATAATTTCTCCATATACTACTTAATACTTTCTATTTTCTTGTTATTTATTTTGGTTTTGATAATAGCCATCCCATTTGAGTTTCAAGAAGCATTTCACTGTGCTTCGATATGAATTTTTCTGATGGTTAGAGATAGTAAGCATCTATCTTTGTGCTTTCTTCCTGGTAAATACGGTTTGGAAAAATGACATTTCAAGCTTTTTGCTAATTTTTTAGATCAGGCTCTTTGTTTCTGAATTTTAGGAATTCTTTACACATTCTTGATATTAATCCATTGTCAATCAAGTATATGACCTGCAAATATTTCCTTACATTGCAAAGATTTCCTCTTCATCTTGAGTGTCCCTTACTCTGTCAACATTTTTAATCTTGATGAAGTCCACTTTGTCTACTTTTTCAACTTGTTGCCTGGACTTTTATCTAGAATCATCACGTTCTTCTGTCTGTCTGTCTCTCTCTATATATATATACCACTCTCCTTAGCTCTTTCTTCTATGACCTGTCTCTGCCTATTCCCCTCCTCTGTGTGTTTTTGTCTCTGTCTGACCCATCCTCCTTCTTCCCCATCCTCCTTCCCTCTCTCTTCTCTCCCTCCTTTTGCCTTTCTTCCTCTTGCTGCTTGGTCTCTCTGACAGGGTCTCACTACACTGTTGTTCCGCTTCTCCTGAATCAGGATCCTCAGTCACTTCTGGCACAAAATACTGCACCAGCTGGTCCACTGACTTTGGAGCTTACATTTCAAACCTAATTTTGAGTCTTCTGATCCTTAGGCAGATACGTTATCGACTACATTCCTGGCTGGGGTTTTCATTCTGAAGTGCTGCAGTCTGGAGTTTATCTAGATTTTCTGGGACTGAAATAAACACAGTTTTGAAAGCTTAAGAAAAAAATATAAAGACTGTTACTTTTTATACATTCCTGTTCACTTTAAAGCCATGTTATTTGTTCCGAGGACCTCTCCTGGTAGAGTCACACAAGATTCATCTGCTTCATTTATTAGCTGTTGCACTTATGAACAAAATTTTTATCACTTCCCTACCAGCAATCATTTTTTTGTTTTTGTGGTGGTGGTGGGAAAAGTGACAGGGTCTCTCTGCATAGACCCACTGTGTAGATAGACCAGGCTGCCTCAGACTCACAGACATCAGCCTGCCTCTGCCTCCCATGTGTTGGGATTAAAGGTTTGTGCCTCCACACCCTGCTCACTTGAAACCATTTAAAATCATTCTATCTGCATATACCATAATTGAAATGTTACTATACAAAAGAATTCGCCTAAGACAGTTCTAGTGAAAGAATATAATGAAAAAAGATTTACCTATAAATGGTTTATAACTATTGTTCAGTTAATCAGAAGAAATCCTGCCAGGTGGGGTGGTACATGTCTGCAATATTAGCACATAGGGGGCAGAGGAAGAAGGGTCATGAGTTTGAGGTCAGCTTGGACTAAAGAACAAATTCCAGACATGACTGAGCTACATGGTGGGATCCTGGCTCATCAATATCCGGACACCGAGGTTTAATATCAGTTATAATTGTGCCTCTGCTATTGCTTGGCTTGAGAATTTAGGCAACTCTACATTTCTGATCTGCAATGAATACAAAATTAAGAGATTCGACTCTGCTGTTAAACAATCTTTTGTGCCCTGTGAATGTATGTTGCTCTCATTGGTTTAATAAAGGGCCAAATGGCCAATAGCTACACTCGTAGAGGTTACGTGGGACTTGCCAACAAAAAGCAAGTGCCGAGTGAGGAAGAGCAGAGTCGCCAGCCATACACAGAGGAAGCAGGACCAAGGGAAACTCAATTCCTCAAACTCTGAAAGGCAGTCCATATATCCAGAAATGAGCTCAATCTGGACTACAGGAGATTTGGGGCAGTTTGATAAAAGTCACCATTACTCAGAAACTTGTGAAACTGGTTCTTTTCTAATAGAAGGAATTGTTTCCCTTTCCTCTGGCAGAATGGACATGTGGCTACTGGTGGCGCCTATCAGCACATCAAAGCTCCCGTTGGCCTCTGGGCTCTGTCAGCATCACAAGTAACAGTTATACATTTCAAAGTCCATGCTAGCATCCTGGTCCTTCTTACCTAATGGTCTTTCCCCTAACCTGGACTCCCTCCAGCTCGTGTGTTTCCCTCTGCTCAACTACTTATTCTTCTGATAACCCTGCTATGCTTGCTTTGTTTTTCTTTCCCTACGCTTTGGAACTGTTTCTCTCCCCATGTTTCCTCTGTTCTCTGTCCCCTGCAAACTTCCCTCTCAAGCAGATAGTCTTGACCTTGTTCAGAAAGTTGGTCATGTTCAGTCTATTTGCTCTCTCTGGTCTGAGCTCTTTGAGATGCCTCTGGCTGTTCTCGTATATTCTACAATAACCCCCTCAACCATAACGTGGAGGGTTGTGTCATCAATTTATATGGTTTCTAATTCTCCATTAGTGTTTAAGGGGGCAGAAAATGCACGTGCAGTTTTCATGACCTGCCCCATTCAGAACACTGGAACTAGACTCATTTTCTGGAAGGTCTGCTCCTGAGGTACTGAGTATCTTGCATCTGGCAAAAGGTGTCACCAGTTTCAATCTTTCACTCCTTCTGGAATCCTAACTGGATCTGGAAGCGTTTTAGGATCCCATTCAACCTTGCTTAGTTTTGTGGTCAGACACTTTGTTAGTTTGCCCCCCAATTTAATTTGCTAGCATTTCCAATCTTCATGTGATGGCTACTTGCATGTTAAAGAAGAATCACATCAAATGAAGGAACTCAGTTCTGTAAAAACTGCATGAAGAACACATTTTCAAGAAACAAGTGTAAGCCGGGCGGAGGTGGCACACGCCTTTAATCCCAGCACTCAGGAGGCAGAGGCAGGCGGATCTCTGTGAGTTCTAGGCCAGCCTGGTCTACAAGAGCTAGTGCCAGGACAGGCTCCAAAGCTACAGAGAAACCCTGTCTCGAAAAACAAAAACAGAAACAAATAAACAAACAAAAAAAACAAGTGTAATTTTATAAGGCTTGTTTTCTCATTAATGTAAAAGGCCTTCAACACAAAAATATAAGTTTTTAAAAGTCATTTGACCTAAAGAGCAGAGACCCTAAGAGAAGATCAGCACAAAGTCAAACCTTCTGCATGGCAAAAAAGTACATGTAATGCCAAATTTGGGAACAAGCCCCCAGTCTTTAAGGGCTGACTCATCCAGTGTTCTGCTCTCCTCTCTCTATTCTGGTCTAATTCTAATTTCTAGCCAATGATATTTCCATACACAATTGTTCCAGGCTCCATTCCACTGAGAAGTGAGCCGCAGCTGACTGGAGAGGTACACTCCTCCGCATCTAGGCACGTGGCATCGCTTCGTTCAGTGTAGGCTGGCACACAATGGGGCAGTGCCACCCTGAAATGGTCAAGCCTGAGTGAGTTTGAAAAGACCAGTCAAGTCTAGGATTACAGATGTCCTTTTACTTCACCACTTCTCTGGAACAGAGGTCCTTGGCCTTAGAGTCCTGGAAATGCCTTGCATGGCCTGCGCACAAGAGGTACATAGAGAGGCTCTGTCAAGCTACAGGCTTGTTGCTAACCGAAGGTGACCATCAAAATCTCATCTTCTCTGGACGATTTAAAAACAATAACAAAACAACAAAAACAAACCAAACCAATCAAACAAAACCCAGCAGACTGCACACTCAGGCACTGGGCAATAGCCAAAGGCTGCGGGCTGCTGGGACATATTGTAAGCTACAGGATTGGGTGGGGTGCAGGTTAAGAAGGTGACAACTGGGGGCTGCATGGTGAAAGGGGGGGGGGTGGTAGGTGATGCTGCGGGACTCCGGGCTGCAGGACTGTAGGGCCCTGTGTGACTGTGATCTGAAGGCCTCCGTGGTGCAGGGATGCATATTGCGGGGTGGGAGGGCTGTAGAGCTGCGGGCTGAAGGGATGCAGAGTGCGGGTCTGCGTGCTGGCGGCCAGAGGGTTGAGGTGTGCCGGCGGCGGCAGGTTTGCAGACAGCAGAGCGATTGCAAGGACGCGGAGCCCGGGCTGGAGGATTGAGGGTCGGAGCTGCAGGTTGGAGGGCTGCGGGGTGGAGAGCTAAGGGGCGGGGCTTGGCTGCGGACTGAAGAGCTGCGGGCTGGAGGGCTGCGGGGTGGAGGGCTGCGGGGCGGAGCTTGGCTGCGGGGAAATGACGTGGTCAGCACCCCGCGCGCCCGCCGAGCCCTGAGCCGCGCGCCCTGGTAACGGCGCTCGGCGGCTCCCGCGTCCGCGGCCCCGCCTCCCGCCGCTGCAGCCCGCCCCGTCCCCGCCTCCCTCCGCAGCCCCGGCGGCGGCCGAGTCTCGGGGCCCGGTGGCCGCTGCTTGCGGGACGCTAGCCGCGCCGTCGCCCAGCCGGGGTAGGGGGACGCGGCCGTCGCGGGCGGGAGGGAGGACTCCGGCCGCCCGGACTGGAGGGCGCGGGCGGGCGGGTCGGCAAGCGGCCGCCCCGGCTGTCGCCTGCCCCGAGTCGTCGCTGCGCCGGCCTCGCCCCGCGCGCGGGGACAGGTGCCCCGGCCGGGGTCTGCCGGGAAGATGGCGACCCCGGGCATGAGCTGGCAGCAGCACTATTACGGCGGCTCTGCGGCCGGGGCTGCCAAATTCGCGCCCTCGCCGGCCGCCGCGCAGCTGGCCGGGCACAGCATGGACTACAGCCAGGACATGCACCTGAAGATGAGCAAGAAGATCGCCCAGCTCACCAAGGTATGGGGGTGCGGGGTTCGGGGCTCACCTGGCGCCGGGCGGAGGCAGCTAAGAGAAGCAACAGCCAGAGTTGCCTCATGGCCCCGCAAACTTGGGTGGAACGCTGGCCACCGAACTTGAGCTAGACCGCACCCCGCACCGACCGCGGCGTTTCCAGGGCTTGCACCCCATTGCCAACTAAGAGTAAACCAGCACTGAGCACCCGAGGGCTCACTTTCCGGGTTCCACGGTAGTAAATGGACTTTCCTGTTGCTCCCGTGCCTCTTGCCGAGGGCTGTATGAGGCACCGCGCTAAGAGTACCCGGTGAAGTACTGTACCGGTTTACCTAACATGACCCAGAATCCTCGGAGTTAATCGGTGTCTACTCCTGGTTCCCACAGTTAACGGGAGGGTAAACTTCTCGAGGTTATTCCGAGGACTGTAGGAGGATGAAACATACCTTGCGTGCCATTTTAGGGATTTAATGAGTCATTCCTTACTTACCCTGACATAATGTCAAATAAGGTTTATTAGATGAATCACACTGTGTTTGCATTTAGTAAATGTTTCATCTTAATCAGAAGACAGTTTTCAAGGAGCCCATAGATACATCACCTGCACGGTTTTCCAACCGTACTTGAGGGGGGTTTGTTAGCTCGTGAGCTCTTTTCCTAATTTAGTTAGTACTGATAAGAAGGGGTGGATCCCTGGAGATATTACCAGCAGTATAGCGCTGCGTGGAACTAAACGGATCTGCGGTTTCTGGAAGTCTCGCCATGACCACCTTCCGTAGGACTGTTGCAGTTTTGAAGAGGGAAAGGTGGACCTGAGGTTCTCTGCTTGATCTCTAGAGATCTGGCTCAGTTCCAGAGCCTCATCGTCTAATTCTACTGAGTTTAAAGAGAGGAAAGGGGATGCGTGTGAAAGGGGAGGAATGAGAGGGTGAAAAACGGCAGAGTTGAGATTGAGAATACAAAGAAAGATACCAGAGAAGGAATAAAGAACAAAGAGGTGCATGGAAAGACAGATTTAAAACAAACAAACAAGCAAACAAACAAAAACCACGTGATCATGACTTAAACCAAACAGAGCCAAGCCGCCTTTTGTGGAGTGTCTGTGTCTGTTCTAAGCACCATCTCAGAGATGCGGCATGTGCCCTTGTTACTATTTGCTTTTGTGAAGGATCTCAAACTCTGAAGGTGTAGCGTGTCACTATGGCCACTTGTGATCAGGGCATTTCCATGGTTGGAGCTGAAAGCCAGGCCTCCTCAGGAATTTGGTCTTCAGAATGCTTGTGGTCATAGTGAGGCTCATGAATATTTGTTCTGTTTCTTGTTTTCATTTTTTTAATGTTGTGTTCACAACAACCGTTTTCTTATTTTAGATTGTAATTCTTGGAGACTCTTGTAACAAACACTCCATAGGTTAGAAGCGGGTCTGTGTGGTATTTAATAAAAAGCTGTTTTTCTTCAGTAAACTTTCACCCTTTCTACTAGGACTTCAATTTCCTGTTCTGTTTTCAGGAAAACAATTCAGCCGACTGGTACAGGTGGATATTAAGGGGAGATGATCGCATCTCTCACACCCGCAAATGTAATGAACCAGGTGCTGCTGCTGGCCCAGTGCTTTTGTGACTGCTGAGCGTGCCTGCATTCCGATTTCCTGTTTGTAGTTACTGTTTCTAACGCCCAGTCTGCAGTCTTCCAGGGCTGCAGCAGCCATTTAATCCCCTGTTCTGGGGTTTCTCAGTGTTACACAGTTGACTCTTTAGATGGGATAGTTCCTTGGTAGGGGGCTAGTCTATGCAATATGGAGAACCTTACCAGCATGCTTGCAAATTGTGGGTGCAAGTGGTACGTGCCTCTGCCCTGCATTTAGAAATGACAGTAGACAAGTCTGCAGACATTGCCAAGTGTTCCCTGGGCAGGGTAGTGTGGAGTCATGTTGGTTGGTAAGGACCGATTACCTTGACATTGTACGGAAATGCCTAGGGCTTCCCCCACCCCTGTTGCTGGCCTTTTTATTGCCCAAGATAAAGCCCGAGTCTAATAACGGTCTAATAACAGGACTCCATTGCAGTCAGTCTCACAAACTCTAAAATGCTGTGCTTCCCTTGTTTATCATTTTAGAAATTGTCCAGTTTTGTAGTCATATATACTCCATGAGCCTTACATCATGAGCGTGTGTATTCCGGGATTACTAGATGTTAGACATTCCAGTGTAGCTGCTGTCTGAGGTTGTCGGGAAGAGTTTGCTAATCATATCAGTAGGAGGTAAATTAAATAGAACTGTGGTTGGAACTTGATTTTTGCTTTCATTTCAAGATAACGTGGAGGTAGCCATTAGACTAGGGACTTGGGGCTAAAGAGGGATCTCTGCTGATAAAGTGCTTGCCCACGCAAACATGAGTACCTGTGCTTGATCCCCAGCGCCCACATAGGAAGGTTAGGTGCTGCAGCATGCATTCAGATCCCAGAGCTTGGGGAGCAGAAACAGCAAGTTTCAGGTTCAGTGAGAGACCCTGTCTCAAAGAATAAGATGGAGAGTGATTGAGAAAGACACCTGACATCAATCTCTGGCCTCCATGCATATACATGTGTGTGAGTATACATACAAAGATATATACACATACACACAAATGTGCACACACATACCACCACCACCACCACCACCACCAACAACAACAACAACAACTAAAAAATGAAATGAACTCTCCCCAGTATTAAAGAAGCAGCATGGTTAAGAATGTGTGCTGTTCTCATACACTAGAGTCAGAAAGCTGGCTCCACTACTTAGTCATAGTGTGACCTCAAGCAAGTCACTAGCCCTGGGCCTCGGTTTCCTAGGTGTAACTAACAGTAGGGGTCATGATACTTAGAGAGCTGTAATGGCACATAGTGGGCTCCTAGTTCGGGTTGTTACTGAAAATACTTATTATGTACCAACAAATGCGGCGAACTCCTTGACCAGCAGGAAGGAACAGCCACCAGACGAGGATTCTTCTCAAATCTCGCTTTATTGGAGCCTCTTGGTTATAGGGAGAGCAGAAAGCAAGGGGCCCCGAGCTCTGATTTGCAGCTGCTTATATAGGGAGTCTGCCTAGCAACCTTTGATACTTTGATACTTTAACTGCTTTTCTGGAGACCCACCTGCCGGAAAGAAAGCTGGTCAGGGGGAGTGTGGGCAGCTAGATCACAACTCATCCTGTTTTCTGGTGGAAGAACCGCAACCTTTATTATGGTATCAAGCGAGGCCGGGGCCAAATGCCATCTTGTAATGGCAGCTACTCAAATCGGCTCCCAGCAAACAAAGGATAAATTTAAAATACTCCTTTAAAAGTGTTTAAATATCTCACCCACATTTTCTTAATCCTTTGTTTGCTGGGAGCCGATTTGAGTAGCTGCCATTACAAGATGATAATATAGATCAGTCTCTGGTCACTAGGCTACGGAAGTCTCAACTCTGCTTATTAAAATGTCCGGTGCTGACCATACAATCTTGAGGGCAGATGCAGAGGTGAAGCCTCCTGTCCTCCTCTAGCCCTGCAGCCCTGCTTCCTGCCAGGGGGAAGGTAGGCAACGGGGGAAGGAGTTTCATCTGCGTTTGTGCTTCTGCCCTGCTTTCTACTCTTCCCAGCCCTGGTCTCTGATCCCTCTGCAATGGCACAGGGAAAGACACTGAAGGAAGAGCAGCTTTTCCAGCTCATCTTCACCCGTGGGTCCTCCACCTCCTGCCTCAGTTGCTTGAGATTTCCACTTTAACTTCCCTGACAATAAAACTGCCTCTTAGTTTTGACTAGTTGCTGGTTCCCTGCTCAACCTCTTGGGCCTGGCATTACCTTCGTCTTTGTTTTGTTATGGTCTGTTCAAGCTCCAGATCTGCCTCTCGGCCGGACCCGGCAGCTCCGTCCCAGCCTGCTGGGTCTCTTGCTCATAGGACTCTCGTCTGATTATGGGGGACACTCGTTCTCTTCACAGACTGGATGTGGGGCCAGTTCAGCCTTCTCTCTTAGGCTCATGTTCCTCCACCCAGCTTCTCATCCTGTTGATTGTTAGTGATGGGTCGGGTACCCAGCCAAATGTTCTTCATGGTGCTTGATGCAAGTGGCAAGCAAGCTCTCCAAGTGTTTCCCTCAAAACTTTCTCCTCAGCCTCAGTGTGGGACAGTCATCTTTCCACAGACCCTTCTTCACTGTGGCTTCTCTAAGGAAGCCACTAGAACCCCTCTGTGATGGCCATAAAGCTGTTTGTGACAATGGTTCACCTGGGGGTAACTTACCTCAGCCATGCTTAACCTTTTGCTTTGTAAAGAGTGCTTTGACCATCTTTTGACTAGTTTATTGTCTTTAGCTCTGAGTAGAAACTTCTGTTTCACTATCTTGCTGTTTTAGCTCATGCCTCTTTAGGTCATTAAACTCTGGTACTCCTCATTCCATTCATCTCTTATAGTGACAACGCGCAGAAGACAGAGAGTAAGCTGAAGCTAGTAATTCAAAGCGTTCTGTTTGGTCCTTAGCATCAGGGCCTTTTCTTCAGTGGGCAGCCATGGCCTTTACCCCTGGAGCTGCCCTGACAGCCCTGGTCCTTTGGGGGCTTCCTTACTCTGAAGGTTTATAATATTTGCCTTTATTTCTTATTTGATACTTAATGGTGCAAATTTGTCAGTAGTGGTCATTGTTTTTAACATATGGGTGGGTATACCATCCCGCTTATTTGATTGTTAGCTTATCAGCTATAGGAAATATAGCTTTTATTTCCTGTAACCTTAATATAGAAACTTTTCATGCACTATAACAGTCACTGAGTATTTTTTGGGAAGGGGTGGTGGTATAATAGGAAAGTACTTTTATTGTGAAGTAGAGAAAGTCAGTATTTTTTGAGAAATTATATCTGTGGTTTTCCAGGGTTGGCTGAGTTAAAATATTCTCAGCTGTTTAAATATACACTGGCAGTTCATTAAAATTTTGGAAAGAATTATGAACTTAATTTTGATATAAGAATAAAAATGTAAACTCTCTAAA